GTTGTCTACATTTAAAAAAAGTATATGTCAAGATGTAAAAAATTGATATGCAAAACTGCAATATTGTATATAACTTTCTGTGTATGTGTCACGTATTTATCCGCTTGTAAAAATGTGATTAATGGAATTTACTGCTCAGACAGGAAAAGTTGTGCCGAAAAACATTACTGTCCTGACAGGAATAGTTGTGCCGAGCAGCAATCAAATCCACAGGAGGGTTTGTGCTGAGCAACAATTATGCAAATGAAAACCTGGTAACTGCCTTTGGGGTCAAAGGCCGATTACAGCCTGTCAGATCCAGAGGAGGGGTATTTAGGCCCAGTTCTCATCCTGCTCAATGCCCTGTCGTGGTTTCCCTTGTGGTTGTCCGAGAGCGCGTTATTGATTCTGGTTATTCTGGTTATTTGACTTTGGCATTGATTTTGACTTCCCTGTTTTCTGGCATCCCTGACTCCTGGCTTTTCCTTATCGTTGTGTCTCTTTCTGTTTCCCTTGACCTCGGCTATTCCTGCTATTCTTTGGTACGTTAGTCCGGCCATTCTAAGGTCCGGTATACGTTACCTATCAGTCCTCTGTGTTATACAATTCTACGTGCTGGATCATACTGTAATCCTGACAGTATGTGACTGGTTTCACAATGTGGGGTCATTTACTTGATAAGTGTGATAAGGATCAATGCTTTCAGTTGCATTTTACAGCACTCGGCTAAAACAAAAGCTTACATCACTCCAGCAGTTCTCCTGCCAACCAGTTTTCCATGCATGTTATCAGAAGATCAGAGTAATGAATACTAGGAGTAACCATGGTAGCATGTGTTTTCCCAAGCTATCCTGTCTCTAAAAGAAGTCAAGGCCTGCTCCCAACCTACCCAAAAACCAACCCTAACTGGTCACATCTTACACAATGTTACAGTATAGCTGGAGGGACGAGGTCAAAGGGAAATACTTGTGTAAAGACAGAACTCTCTGGAAAAAGAGGGCAGGATAAGCCAGTTTTGGGAGGGAAAATGGATTCTGGGACTTGTAGTTAATGACTCCAAGTATCAGTCTTTAAAAGAACAACAAAGGAGGTTGGGCGCCTCTCCTCGCTTTCTCTCTTTGTCTCTTTTTTTGGGGAGGACAGCGTAGCAAGCAGGTGCCATGATGAAGTGAGAGAGACTGTCCCAGACTACCCAAGATGAAGGCGCAAGGGGAAGATCTCCATTTAAATGTTTAAGTATTGCCCTTTTATTATGTATCTTTTGGTTTTGGACTGGATGTGGTTATAATGTATATTGCGTATATACTTTTTAAAACTGTAACAGTGTCCTAAAATAATATTTAGAATACATTTTATTATACACTTGTGTTTGTGACTTATTTGTCACACATTCCCTAAAAGAATATCCTTGTAAGAGGGTCATAATGTCTTACAATGATGAGGTTAGTTCACATTCCTTGGCTACCATATGGTCTCAAAAGGCAACACAGACCCAGCAAACCAATATGGCAAACTGAATTGGGCAAGCCCTATATTGACCCTGTAACTTTCCAAATCACCATAAAACCTGTACTTGAGGGGTACTGTTGTACTCGCGAGACATTACTCTACTCAAATATGAGTGTTTTAGAGCAGTAAAATGTATTATACTGATAATATCATCTGTGAAATGACAGTTTATGTGTGAAAAATGCAAAAAACTAATATAAATTCTAATTTTCCCAGGGTTTGTGACTAAGTGGTAACTAAAAAAGACTGGACATACCCCATTTTGAATATTGTGGGTTGTCTACTTTTACAAATGGTATGCCATGATGGGGTTAATTTTCATTCCTGGGCTACCATACGGTCTCAAAGGCAACATTTCAATTTCAATTCAATTTCAAACATGGAGCCCTGCATTTGACCCCTGTAATTTTGCAAAAACCCATAAAACCTGTACATTGGGGGCATTGTCGTACTCAGGGGATGTTGATAAACACATATTGGGGTGTTCTTTGGCAGTAACCCTTAAAGTTCTCAGTACATGAATTCTTAAATTGTATGTGTGTCAAAACAAAAGTCACCAATTATTAAAACAAATGTTTTAATTTGGCATAAATTTGTGGTAAAATGGTTGCATGAAAATTGTCAAAATAATACCCCAAGTTTAATACCTCAGGTTGTCTTCTATTAAAAAATATATATACATGTGAAGGGTTATTCAGGGATTTCTGACAGATATTAGTGTTACAATGTAACTTGTGTTAATTTTGGAAAATAAAATGGTTTGGAAATAGCAAAGTGCTACTTGTACTTATAGCCCTATAACTTGCAAAAAAGCTAAGAACATGTTAACATTGGGTATTTCTAAACTCAGGACAAAATGTTAAAACTATTTATCATGGGTGTTTTTTGGCGGTTGTAGATGCGTAACAGATTTTGGGGGTCAAAGTTAGAAAAAGTGTGTTCATCATATTTTATATTTTTTTATAGTAAATTATATGATATGATGAAAATAATGGTATCTTTAGAAAGACAATTTATTGGCGAGAAAAACAGTATACAATATGTGTGAGTACAGTAAATGAGTAAGAGGAAAATTACAGCTAAACACAAACACCACAGAAATGTAAAAACAGCCCTGGTCCCAAACGGTAAGAAAAGTGAAAAGCGGTCTGGTCACTAAGGGGTTAAAGGATTAATGGCCTTTTGTACTCCTCCATACATTGCATTCTCTTGGCTCTGGTGTGAGTGAGTAATGCTCAGAACTTGGTGTTCCTCATCTGACATCATCACTGCAAATTGCACCCATTTTCTGGGTACTGACCTATCAGACATGCTTTGTCTGCTCTACCTAAAAGGTTTGTCTACATATTTTCTGTTCTACTAGGATGGTCATTGGGTGACGATACGAGGGTGGTGGAGTTGGACCTCTCTGAAATGGTTGTTGTTTCCCAAATATGTATGTCTATCTATAGGTTTAATTAGAGCAGTGACTCCCAATGTTTACATCATTGAGGCATACATCAATGAAACACCTAATGTAACGTAAACATCCATTTATAATGCCTGTACATTATAATAATTTATTAAAATTAAAATGTAAGAATATTTTATTTAAAAAAAAATAGCAATTTATAACAAACAGTAATCCTCTCAATTTTAAGATTTTCTTATTTATAAGCATGACAGTGAGAATGTAAGTATTTCAAAAGTGTCTTTTAAAAGAATACAAAAGTAAAATGTTTTAAATAAATTTTTATTATTAAATAATAATAACAATGACAAGTGGCTGAGTGCTCAGAGGCATCACCTTTAACATGTCTCATGGCAGTTGAAGAGTTAAGGTGGACCCTGTGTGGAGTGCCACTTTTGCCTGGCCCACACGCTCTCAAGTGTACTTTCAAATGTACTCTCTGTCAGGACTGACTAAAGGATCCTCAGCAAAATGAGAGACAGCGAACTAACAAAGACAAACACAGAGGCATAGGGACGCATAATCGGACCTTAGAGTGCTCAGGTTAATAAAACAGGACTAAGAGAAGACTACAGTCCAGGAGAGGAACAATATTTGAAACACACAATGCCCAATACAAGCAAGGGTCAGGAGAACAGAAAAAAAGCAATGTCCAGAAAAAGCCAGGGACTGGTACACATGAAGGGAAGTCAGACAAACCAGAGACTGGAACACAAAATCAGGTGAAAGGCAAAGAGGGCGGGTCAGGTACACAAGGACAGGAGAGCAGAAGGTAGTCAGGTAAGCCGGGTCAATATAACAGATTAAGTCAAGATTAGGACAAAATATCACCAATTATAAAGGAACCACAAGAGTTCAGAGCAGCCGAATAGCCCTCTTTAATTAGGAAGGTCCTGTACATGTTTGGCTCTTGCCTACTAGAGCAACAAGATCAGAAAGGAAGCATCTGTGTTACCCACAAGTGCCCTACAAAAACAAGCAATCAGAATATCAGGTGGGTCAGAATCAAACAGACATCCCTTCAAAATTTACCCAGGGTAACAGGTTCCACAATGGCAGTGTGCAGCAATAGAGCAGTGGGAAACAGGGGTTCAAGTCCCACCAAATCCCAGCTCCAGAGCCAATCAGAGATATCTTATAGACTAAAACACAAAGAAATTTATATTCTCAGATTCTACAGTCACATACAGTATTTGGTGGTGCCATACTAAGGACTGACTGGAAGGGAATGTCACTCACTCACCTGTCAGACCACCACACTAATGCTACTTGGGACATCTGTAAGATAGCAGGCTAAGACCCTGACACTGCATTGTTTCACCTCCGACAGTAGAAGCTCTGTAATGTTAGCTAGTGACCAGCTTTTCACGATAATGAATGCACCAGTCCAGGAGAGCTTTATACTACCGACCCAGCAACATAGTGTTTGGGAACTCCCCTCAGAACTGGGCTGGTAACTGGTCAATGTCCTAGAAGAAAGAGTTTTAGGCTTCATACTGCTACCTTTTACAAATGGTGATCAGGCAAGTGAGTTTCTAATATCTAACTAGCCCATAGCAGCACCACCACCACATCCTTGCTCACCAGCACACTGGGCAACACATGATGGCACACCAGGTAAACAAAACACAATTGTAGACCTTCTGAAGTGTGCTGGGAAGGGGAGGAACATCCTTCTGGTCGTTCGTACTCTCCAAATGGGAAGCAGCTAACATATCATGCGTATATTGTCATCTCCAGCCTGCGGCATGTTCCATCATCTGTTTGTGTGCTTATTGAAAGTAGCTCTGTCATGATATTATTTATTTTTGTGCTCGATCACATGGTAACTAATTGTCTAAATGTTGTGCGTATACTTATAAGACGATGTTCTGCACTTTGTAGATCAGTGACTCATCCCTTTTCTCCTTTCCAAAGATGTCAGTGGTTAAGACTGCCAAATCCCTGTCGTGTTTTTACATTAAATCTATTGCTTGATAATTAACACTTTAATGGCTATCAATGAATAGTTAGCAATGTTTAAGCGCTCACAAACCCATTGTTTGGATATTTGAGAGCACTTTAGTCAATATTGGTCAATAGGGACCTATACGTTACACAGTAAAATGTAAACATGTCATTATCGGTTTGGAACACAGAAAGTTAATGATATGTCACCATCACCACTGCCATATAAAAGGGATAACAGAGGCAAGTCAGGTTAATTGTATTTGTTGTTGACCTAATGATCTAAGGGTACTGATTTCAAAATCATCAATTAAACTGGACAAGTTAGCGATGACAACTTTTAAGTCAATAATGATCTGGTGCAAAGTTTGTGATTATGGTCTCATTGACAAAACTCATGCAAAACTGGTCTAAAGTCAGAAAATGATCAGATACCAAAGCTGGATTTATGCATATATTACATCAGAGACATAACTAGATACCACAGGGCCCTGGTGCAAAAATTGCGCTTGGGCTCCCCCATGTGTCTCATTTCCCCCCCCCCCCTTCCCTCCAAGGCCTTCCATGTGTTTCATCCCCCCCTGCCCCTCCATGAGTCTCATTCTCCTCCCCAGCTACTTCATGTGTCTCACTCCCCATCAGCCCCTCCATGTGTCTCATTTCAGCCTCCAGCCTCTCTAAGTGTCTCATTCACTTCCCCCCAGGTCCTCCATGTGTCTCATCACCCCAGCCCCTCCATGAGTACCATTCCTCCCCCCAGCCCCTCCATGTGTCTCATTCTCCCCCACCCCCTTCATGTGTCTCTCCCCCATATCCCTCTGTACCTTCTCTCGTCCAAGTAGTGTGGCAGAGCAGGCCGATCTCACAGGAAGTGCTTCACTCCTGCCTGTCACTCAGAGACTGCCTGCCCCTGGCCAATGTGGCCGTGCAATGGCCTTGAAGTTATGCTATCCCACGGTTGCAGGGGTTGACATGGCTGGGCCCCCTAGATTGATGGGGGACCCCTGCGACCACGGTAGTTACGCCACTGTATTACATAATTATATACCAGTTCGTACATGCGGTGATCTCACATTTAGCTGTTCTAATTCCACTATTCTGCATCGAGAGAGATGTGTGGGTGGGTGGCAGTGGGGGCTGGGATGGATACCAGGGCAAGTGTTGTTAAGTAACTGTTAAAGGACCACTATAGGCACCAAGACCACTTCAGCTCAATGAAGTGGTCTGGGTGCCAGGTCCATCTAGGGTTAACCCTGCCTGCTGTAAACATAACAGTTTCAGAGAAACTGCTATGTTTACATATAGGTTAATGCAGCCTCTATTGGCTGTCTCATTGACAGCCACTAGAGGCGCTTCCGCGCTTCTCACTGTGATTTTCACAGTGAGAAGACACCAGCGTCCGTAGGAAAGCATTGAGAATGCTTTCCTATGGACTGACTGAATGCGAGCGCGGCTCTTGACGCGCATACGCATTCAGCGGAAGAGGGAGGAGAGTCCCCAGCGCCGAGGGAGCCCGGTGCTGGAGAAAGGTGAGCATTTAACCCTTTCCTCCCCGAAGAGCCCGGTGGGAGGGGGGCCATGAGGGTGGGGGGGACCTATTAATACGATAGTGCCAGGAAAACGAGTTTGTTTTCCTGGCACTATAGTGGTCCTTTAGAAGAAGTGATTAAAACACCATGTACTATATTGCATACCAGTTCTAACAATGGATATTGACTATGCTCATCCTCAAAATGTTTTCAAACTCTTGCTACATTATGGTTCCATATAATTGTATGTAGGATCTTACTTTGACAAGGCTTGTCAATCATGCTGCACTGCACGATATTCTGTTAGTTTCACACAATGAATGTCTACGAACATTCTAATCGTATGGTTACATTTTGCATTTCAACCTTTGTGGGTCCATCAAGGTACATTATAGTTAGTTAGAGAATATTTCTATTAACTGACAGATATGCTAATCTTTTCATAACATGCAGAAGAATGGAAGGCTCAACAGAATTCGGCCACGTGACTTTGTGGTACAGACAAATGTCTTTTTTTGAGGTGCATTCACCCACTAAGTTAGCTCAACTATGATAAATATTTACAGAGGTATGTACTAAAGTGAGAAATCAAACTGAGTTCAATGTGAATTTTAAATTCTAGGCCAGATTAGCTGAACTAAAACCGACTGGTTTGGTTGGAGAGCATAACACGGATGAGGTTTTATTTGTTTAGGCAAATCTCTGATGCGTTGGAAAAAATTCCCAACTCAGATATAGTCACAGTTAGGCTATTTTTGCCTATTTTGTAATACTAAGATGGAATAAACCCATAATGAATCATACACAAGACACAATTATAAAAACGTGAATTACTTTAACTTATCATCTAATATTAAATTTATACTATACTATATATCTAATGTTAAAATAGTTAAATAATACCCAGCTGCTGCCCTTCAAGGAACCTCTAATAAATGTGTACTGACTTGGATGCCCTGGTTGGACTTTATGTCACGGTCTGCTGCCAACACCCTGGCAAAGACCGACCCCATCGACAGTAAGCACTGACACTACAGACAAGAAACACCCAAATGCCTGCTTAATACTGCAGGGCCCCCACTCTGAGCCTCACACATCCCTTCCCCTCTCTTCCCCCACTCTGTTGCCCCTCCCACGCAATTATCATTATTAGTACTATTATTTTTTTCCTTCTCTCATCTGTCTGTTCCATATACTGGACACAGGCTGTTATAATTAGAGACCTGTCAATGGGTTATCTAATCACAGCCCCCCTTAGAGACCTTGCAAGCTCAAGGACAACTTATGTTGGTCGTCCTAATATCTTGTCTATGACCATGAAACCCATATTTAACGTAAGCAGTACAACTAATGAAACTTGACTTCACCCAGTAACTTAGGCACTGCTGATGCCAATTCTGAATGCCACTGCACGGTTAACCCTCTTATAAAATATGTAGACAAAGAGTATCAAGGAAAGGGGCATAAGCATGCGCATGGGGTGTGACTGGGCACATCCTAATCCCCGCGGCACGCCTATGGATTGAGACTGGCAGGGGAGATCCTGAGATCTCATGCAGAGCCCGCGCTATCTGAGCGCGGGCTCTGCTCTAAGCCTCCATGGGCCGGTGGGGAGATCAAAGATCTACCTCACCGGCCCACAGCAGCATGGAGGGAGGCAGGAGAGGACCAGGGGAGCTCTAGCCAGCAGCTCTACTGGGTTCGTCTAGCGAGATCTGAGCGTTGACGCAGGCTAGAATTCACTCTCCACTGGACCACCAGGGATGGCATGTGGCAGCAAGGATCCCCCTCTCCCTACATAAGGTAAGAAGGGAGGGGGGATATTTACTAATCTGCCCCCACAATCCCACCAAACATACAGCACACACACATACAGTACCCTCACACACACAGCACACAAACAGCACCTATACACATACAGCACCCTCACACACACAGCACACTAACAGTATCCTCACAAACACACACACAGCACCCTTACAAACACACAGCACCCTCACACACAGCACCCTCACACACAGCACCCTCAAAAACACACACACACAGCACCCTCACACACAGCACACTCACACACAAATAGCACCCTCACAAACACACGACACCCACAAACAGCACCCTCACACACACAGCACCCTCACACACACACACATCACACAAACAGCACCCTCACACACACAGCACACTACCAGCACCCTCACAAACACACACACACAAAGAACCTCAACCGCATCACAATAACAGCACCCTCACACTTTACAAACACACACACAGCACCCTTACAAACACACAGCACCCTCACACACAACACCCTCACACACAGCACACTAAAAGCACCCTCACACACACATCACACAAACAGCACCCTCACACACACAAACACCCTCACACACAGCACACTACCAGCACCCTCGCAAACACACACACACAAACACCCTCACCCACATAGCACACTATCAGCAGCCTCACACACACATCACCCTAACAGCACCCTCCCACACAGCACCCTTACACACACACAGCACACTAACAGCACACACACACAGCAGTGTGTGTATATATATTTATAAATATATACATACATATACACGCGGAATGTGTTTGTGCTTTAGGGTGCACACCCTAATGCTATAGACTGCGCACGCCTATGGGAAGGGGGGCAAACTCACTACATATATGCTCCAGCCTATAATTACCAGTGAAAACCAACGCTACTAGTGATATTAGCAAGTCTCAATACCTCCCTTTTTAAAAAATACCTGTTTCGGAAATGATCATTAACACACCATGCATATTGTCTCTGTTATGCTATTAACCGCTATGGAAATTGATACCACGACAACAGCATGTATCAAAGTACAAATTGCTTCCATGTTCTATTTTATTCCTGTTTTCCTGCTAAAAACTAAAATAAAGATTGTCAAAAGATTGTCCTCATATTACCTTGGGTACCCAGTGGCAAGTTATCATTAAAATAGTTTGCTAATAATGACAATTATTAAAGTTATCCAGAAAATGAAGGTATTTAGTTTTGGAATGGGTTTATAGGCGACATAAACACTATTTTACATTATCTGAATACTGACATTTAAAGATAAATAGAATATTTTTTTCCGTGCATCATTGATTATATCTTTAATATATATATATCTGTCAAACTACATTCCAAAAGGGTGGAGGCAAATAACGCTTAAAGACAGATCTGCTTTTGTATCTGTCTCACGTAGACTTTTTTGATCAGTGAGACATTCATTCTTATACTAAAGAAGCAATATCATGAGAAGGGAATCGGGAAAAAAAATGAATACATTATCACTTAAATCATTCACCAATCTTTTTTTTTTCCAGACGTGTACCTGCCTTATATATTTTTTGCTGGTCCTCCTATATTTCAGTCCTTGGTACTCTAGTCAACATAAATATCTCCTACATATCTCCTTCTCCTCCGTACCCTTAGGTCTTGAATAATAATTCCCCAATATCTTAACACACGTACACTTGCTGAAATGCTTTAAGGGATAACAATGTATCACCTACCTGTCTCTTGGGCTGGACATTTCTTTAGAACAAAAAGGTAACGGTTCAGCGCTAAACAATCTAAAAGAGACTAAAACAAAACGTAAAAGCAGCAACCTATAGGAATGAGGTCCCTCAAAAAACCTCACATGGAATTGGACAAACAGAAAAAGGTGTATAGGTCGCGCTAAGGGGACAAGGAAATAAAATAAATGAAATAAACAAAAGTAATAAAAAAGGTCCCAGATATAAATAAACCTGTGTTGTTCTAGGAGAGTATACAGTCCAAATGGATATCTGAGTCTTCTTATGTTGAGGATGTCTTGGAATGCTTGTCAATACGTAGATACATAAAAAAAGAAGAGGAAGAAGAACTCCAATAGTGTAGAATGTCGGTATAGTTTCCAGGTATAGGTCTATGGATAAGTAAAAAACTCACCTTGGCGTGAGCAAAAAAACTTTGCTCAAGTGTTCTTAGCGTTCAGTGGCGTCAATCCCCCACTGGTAGGATATAGGTGATGGGGTCCTGGACAATTCCTCGGTATATAAAAAATGAGAGACGTATATAGTGCTCACTGATGTTAGTAAAAACAAATAAAATAAGTAAAATACTCACATGTACAAGAGCAGGAAATACTGCTCAGTATGATGGCGCAGGTGGTACAATCCCCACCTTAGGATTCTTGGAAGTTGACGTACTTCAATCCAAATTGATGACCAGGTAATTCAAATTAAAAATATAGAATAAAAGGAATTAAAAGTATATAGGCAAAAAATAAGGGCCAATATTCCTTTATTAAAATATAATTTATCAATATATATAACAGACTTTGTAATAGCCAAAACGCGTTTCACCACACAGGGCTTTATCAAATGGCATTTAAAAGAGAGAAAAACCTGGTACACAAACTGCTTTTATAAGCTAAAAAATACAGATAGGTATTTGAATTTTGGCGCCAAAATGACGTCACACTTACAATATGCATAATTTAAAAACAATTCAAAAGTAAGAAATTAAAAGGTAAAAGCATTATATAATGCAATATTAAGATAATTATTAGTTTCAAATAGTAAAACGAGCATTATTTATAATGTGGTACATTAGGAGAGATGATGTCAGTGAAAAAAATATAATCACAATTAGTATATATACAAAAGTTGAAATTGATGATATAGGAACCTTAAAAAAAGGGGTATGAAAATGTCTATGGGCTTAAAATAGAAAAACGAGCATTATTGAGAATAGTAATATATAATGAAACACGTGATCGCGGCTAGACGCGATCACGTGATCGGAACTGGGCATTGTGGGAAATGTATGCCAGAGAGTCGGGAGATCGGCGCAAAAGTATTTCGCCTGTCTCTCGACTAGATAGTGCAGTAGGGGCATATGAGAGCTAGATAATTAGCCCTGCATATAAATAGAGACCTGATAGGTGAGGGGAGAGGGGGAGAGAAGAAAAAAAGGGGAAAGGCAAAAGAGGGGCTTATAGCAGGAAGTATCCTGCATAATCAAAAGGATAATGATAAAAATATATATAAAAAAAAAGAATATATGTAAAAAAGAGAAAAATGAAATATGAAACAGGAATAATAATAAAGGTAATAAAGATAAAAATAAATATACTAATAAAAATAAAAATAAAAATAATGATGAATAAAAATAAGAAATGAAAATAGAAATAAGAATAGAGATAATAATAAAAATAAAAATAAAAATAGAAATAAATAATAATAGAAGAGATAAAAATAAATATAAAAATATAAACAGAGTTAAGGGAAGAAAAATGGAAAAAACAAAAACAAAAAAAAAAACATTTTTTATAAAAAGTTAAAAAGGTCGAATTCAACATTTAATCCTTGAGGTGATAGAGTTTTTAATTGAAAAACCCAATTCATCTCTCTTTTCCCCAAAATATTTTTCATATCCCCTCCTCTCCATGGCATGGAAACTTTTTCTATCCCGGTAACTTTAAGAGCACTTAGGTCTTTATTGTGCAATAAGAAGTGCTTGGACACTGAATGGTTATCATATCCTTTTTTAATATTGCGGCAATGTTCTGCCAGTCTGATCTTTAAACACCTTGTTGTCATGCCAACATATTGAAAACCACATGGACATTCTAATAAATAGATAACATTTTTAGTATTGCATCCTATGAAGTCCTTGATCGGGTACATAGTTTTGGTGATGGTGGAGGAGAAATGAGTCGTTTTAGTATTGGTATTGGGATTTGTGGATCTGCATACAATGCATTTGTTACATTTAAAAAAACCTTTTGGTTTTGACAGAAAGGTCTCCTTTGATGAAGTAATTTTAGTATAATTTTTCGTTAGAATTTTCTTAAAATTTGGGGCCCCTCTAAAAATCACATTTGGTTTGTCAGGGATATAGTCTTTTAGACTTTAATAAGAAAAATAAAGATATAAAAAAAATCATTAATAAACATTGGCACATTCTTAAACAGGATGACCTTTTAAAAGACTATATCCCTGACAAACCAAATGTGATTTTTAGAGGGGCCCCAAATTTTAAGAAAATTCTAACGAAAAATTATACTAAAATTACTTCATCAAAGGAGACCTTTCTGTCAAAACCAAAAGGTTTTTTTTTTAAATGTAACAAATGCATTGTATGCAGATCCACAAATCCCAATACCAATACTAAAACGACTCATTTCTCCTCCACCATCACCAAAACTATGTACCCGATTAAGGACTTCATAGGATGCAATACTAAAAATGTTATCTATTTATTAGAATGTCCATGTGGTTTTCAATATGTTGGCATGACAACAAGGTGTTTAAAGATCAGACTGGCAGAACATTGCCGCAATATTAAAAAAGGATATGATAACCATTCAGTGTCCAAGCACTTCTTATTGCACAATAAAGACCTAAGTGCTCTTAAAGTTACCGGGATAGAAAAAGTTTCCATGCCATGGAGAGGAGGGGATATGAAAAATATTTTGGGGAAAAGAGAGATGAATTGGGTTTTTCAATTAAAAACTCTATCACCTCAAGGATTAAATGTTGAATTCGACCTTTTTAACTTTTTATAAAAAATGTTTTTTTTTTTGTTTTTGTTTTTTCCATTTTTCTTCCCTTAACTCTGTTTATATTTTTATATTTATTTTTATCTCTTCTATTATTATTTATTTCTATTTTTATTTTTATTTTTATTATTATCTCTATTCTTATTTCTATTTTCATTTCTTATTTTTATTCATCATTATTTTTATTTTTATTTTTATTAGTATATTTATTTTTATCTTTATTACCTTTATTATTATTCCTGTTTCATATTTCATTTTTCTCTTTTTTACATATATTCTTTTTTTTTATATATATTTTTATCATTATCCTTTTGATTATGCAGGATACTTCCTGCTATAAGCCCCTCTTTTGCCTTTCCCCTTTTTTTCTTCTCTCCCCCTCTCCCCTCACCTATCAGGTCTCTATTTATATGCAGGGCTAATTATCTAGCTCTCATATGCCCCTACTGCACTATCTAGTCGAGAGACAGGCGAAATACTTTTGCGCCGATCTCCCGACTCTCTGGCATACATTTCCCACAATGCCCAGTTCCGATCACGTGATCGCGTCTAGCCGCGATCACGTGTTTCATTATATATTACTATTCTCAATAATGCTCGTTTTTCTATTTTAAGCCCATAGACATTTTCATACCCCTTTTTTTAAGGTTCCTATATCATCAATTTCAACTTTTGTATATATACTAATTGTGATTATATTTTTTTCACTGACATCATCTCTCCTAATGTACCACATTATAAATAATGCTCGTTTTACTATTTGAAACTAATAATTATCTTAATATTGCATTATATAATGCTTTTACCTTTTAATTTCTTACTTTTGAATTGTTTTTAAATTATGCATATTGTAAGTGTGACGTCATTTTGGCGCCAAAATTCAAATACCTATCTGTATTTTTTAGCTTATAAAAGCAGTTTGTGTACCAGGTTTTTCTCTCTTTTAAATGCCATTTGATAAAGCCCTGTGTGGTGAAACGCGTTTTGGCTATTACAAAGTCTGTTATATATATTGATAAATTATATTTTAATAAAGGAATATTGGCCCTTATTTTTTGCCTATATACTTTTAATTCCTTTTATTCTATATTTTTAATTTGAATTACCTGGTCATCAATTTGGATTGAAGTACGTCAACTTCCAAGAATCCTAAGGTGGGGATTGTACCACCTGCGCCATCATACTGAGCAGTATTTCCTGCTCTTGTACATGTGAGTATTTTACTTATTTTATTTGTTTTTACTAACATCAGTGAGCACTATATACGTCTCTCATTTTTTATATACTGAGGAATTGTCCAGCACCCCATCACCTATATCCTACCAGTGGGGGATTGACGCCACTGAACGCTAAGAACACTTGAGCAAAGTTTTTTTGCTCACGCCAAGGTGAGTTTTTTACTTATCCATAGACCTATACCTGGAAACTATACCGACATTCTACACTATTGGAGTTCTTCTTCCTCTTCTTTTTTTATGTATCTACGTATTGACAAGCATTCCAAGACATCCTCAACATAAGAAGACTCAGATATCCATTTGGACTGTATACTCTCCTAGAACAACACAGGTTTATTTATATCTGGGACCTTTTTTATTACTTTTGTTTATTTCATTTATTTTATTTCCTTGTCCCCTTAGCGCGACCTATACACCTTTTTCTGTTTGGACATTTCTTTAAACTGAAAAGGTTGCATTCTCTCAGCTGTCAATCAGACAGCCGGCAGGGTGCTCTTCCTGGTTGCTTGTGCTAAGGCACAGAGTGAAATATTATGCTCCTTTCTAGAAAAGCAAAGGATGCAATGCTTCTCTATGAGAGGCACTGCAGGGCTGTGCAGCAATTGATACGCATGTGGCCTGTGTCCCAGAGCTGAGGTTGGTTAACTCTTCATAGCTTTATGGTAAAGATGAATGTCATTAATTTCTATATTTCTGATAGTCATCCATTTAAACTTAGAATATCAGACTTTTCTAGGTGTTTAGATTCCTGCACCTCTTATCTTATCATGGCAGTGAATTATGAGAGCTTGCATCCCCACAGTTAGCAACCCTAAATTGTTCTAATATGAGTCGTTAATTGACATTCTCAGCATGTAATGCTGCTTGTAAAATAGATCACCAATCACATAAAATACACTATAAATAAAAGAGAGATCAAGAAATAGTGTGCCTTTAAAACATGGTACAAGTGCTGCTGGCATTGCCCTGTCTTCTCAATCACCACTCTCATATTATTCTATAAAGACTACTTATCTGGGGTAGTCAAGTTGAATGGTGGGAAATTCAGTTTACAGCTGTGTGCAACCCCTTAAGGATGGAGGCAATTGTCCAAGTTTTGAAACAAAACAAAACCTGGAATATTTCATATTCATATTGGGCTCTCTTGCTATCTTAACATTTTAGATTTCCCTTTTATTCACCTCAAAATAAATGTCCACACACATTTCCCAAAAGTGTCTAACAACACTGAGTGACTTATTCGCTACAAACTAAATTGTAGTACAATTGTCAACAATGCTGCTAAATTTTATCAAAGTGCTAATTTGGAAGAAAATGTCCAACTTGGATGTGTTTATCAAAAATCCTCAGTTTTTCTTGGCTATTATCAACTAAATTTGCAAACTGAGCTTCAAATTATTGCATATCTGTGTTAAATGAAAACCACACAATTAATGTAGCTCAGTCAGACCCTCCATGACAACGGGATATTAGTTTAATCTCAATGTGAAGTAGAAGACGCTCTGGTCCACAGATGCCCAAGTTCTCTTTGTATCATAGACAGTGGTTATGGTCAATATGCTCTAAAACACTCCCATTAAACCACACCAAAATACTTTGACAAAACACTAATAAATGGGGTGGAGCATAACAAACAATATATAGATGTATACATGCGTATATTAATAAGTATTCTGAAAGATTTACTAACTACCAACTCATATGTACCAACTGAGGAAGCCACTAGGCGAAATGCGTTTTGGGAACAGCTATACTTAATTTCCTATTGGACTTTTTATCTTTATGTATGTTTTGTTTATTTTTTTACTATTGAGTTGAATAAATCACACTATTATTTTAACTCATTGGTTCAAAGTTCCTGACTATCCGGCCAGCTAATACTACTCATCAGTTCCAGGCAAAAGAATAAGGGTGTCGGATCCCCTCTTAAGATCCAGAGTTTTTTTTCCACCAGAGCCAAGTGTTGTTTTTGGCTCCATGCTTGTGAGTGCTACCTATTACCCTCATGTTCATTTATTTTATACATGTAACATATTCCTCCTCACTCAGCAGTGCGTCTGTACAAATGACTCTTGCAACATGTTAATGGACACCGACCGCTGCGAATCCATGCCAAATTATACCCACACGTCAATAACGATGTCGGCGTGCGTGTACATTTTGGGGTCAAAGGCCATTTTCTGCCAATCAGAAATGTAAAGCACTTATTTAAGCTCAAATTTACTTTTCCTCATTGCCCTGTCATTGTTTCCCTAATGGTTATCTGAGAGAGTGTTCCTGAGCGTTTATTTCTGGTTTTTGACTTTGGCTTCATTTGACTTCCCTGTATTCTGGTATCCCTGACTTCTGGCTTTCCCTTATCGTTGTGTCTCATTCTGTACCCCCCGACCTCGGCAAGTATCCTGACTATTCTTTGGTGCGTTAAGTCCGGCCATTCTAAGGCCCAGTAATACGTTACCTTTTAGTCCTAGGCCTGACACAATTCTACGTGCTGGATCAATTAGTAATCCTGGCAATACATACTTACTTGCACTATTATCTCTCTTCCATTATATCTTTCAGAATATTTAGTGATATACGTATGTATACATCTATATATTGTTTGTTATGCTCCACCCCATTTATTAATGTTTTGTCTCTTTGTTTCATATACATAGATCTGGGTGACCAGATTTCTATTTCAGTTGCTCCTCTTGATAAAGTTCCATAAATTAATTAACAAACAGATCAACTCCCGGTTGTGCACCCCTTTAATAATTATATGTTGATACTTTCTTATAAAAGTTAGTGATAAATTAATCTAGACTATGACAATTTAGGATGGAAGCTTGCCTCTCAATCCAATATACAGTTTTCAGGATGTATTTGAAATATGAGCATTGTTCATTGCCCGTCAATCACAGCATGGTCAATTGGTTAAGCAAATAAATACTTAAATACACATGTTGTATGTATCCTGTTTTTTTTTTATTGCACTCTTACCACGCGGCAAACAATTCACAAAAATAACATAAAAATAACCCTGCTGCGCAATAAAGCTTCAGCTACATATAGCAGCTGTTATCCATGTATATACAATATATACACAAATGTATTAAAAAGCAAATTTGGGAAGGCAGTGGCTCTTTCAATGACAGCCAGACCTGCTGTGTTTTGTGAAATTGTACTTTTTTCTTCATAATGGCATAGTTCAAGTCAACCTCTCATAAGGAACCCTTCGTATTGAAATGTTGCACCCTTTTGGTATAGAATGACTCATACTTTGACTGCCGGAGGGCTGGGTTATTTGCATTGACATGTGGTTCATCCCTCTCTGTCACTCAAAGGATCGAAACAGAAGATAGTTAAAAATGACCTCATTGCTAAATAAGAAAATGGGTTGAAATTCACTTTCAGGCATTACTGAGTAGTGTCAGTATGTTGGGTAGAGAAAACCATGGTGTCCCTTTTTATGTTTGTTTTAAAAAGTAGTAGGTAGATAATCTTTTATATATATATATGCCATATATAAATACAAAAAAATTTAAATAAAGGCCTCCTATCTGTACAAGAAGGACAGGATATGCTTACAACCCAAACATGTGCTGCAGGTCTTTGACCATATTTGTATGCACATCCATATGTAATCTACTTATAATACAGAATTCTTATTATCTAATCCTTCTTGATTTTCTAGAGTTTGTCTACAGTGGGAACAATTACATCTTACATCTGAATTCATTGAATTCACACCAGATCATAAACAGTCTTTTGCAAGACCATGTCAGCTAGATTGCAGTTGAGGGACAATTCTTGAGTCACTACCTCTTGGTCGTTTTGTTGCTCAAGTCAGAGTCCAAATCATTTTCGACTACACTATTGTAATTATATTTTTCTATGCAATCACTGACAGCCTGGAGAACAATCCGTAGTCTTCTATCCATTGCTTCTAGATGAGGCTGAAACAGGACAGGAGCAACTTTATCCATTGACAAAGACTCATCCATCAAGTTGCTCAATTTGTATTCTTCTTTTGCGAGCATCTGTAACCGCAGGTATGTTGATTTCTTAATCCTAGAAAACCAAAAACATAGGGTTTGCATATTATTACATTAGACTGGAAGAAATGAGATTTAGTCTAAGGCAAAGGATTTTTTTTTCTTTTTTTACATTTAGAACAATAATTATGTGGAATTCCTTGCCTGAAGAAGTGGTTTTATCAGAGTTTGTACAGATGTTTAAACAGCAAGCGGATGCATACTTGCAAAAACAGAGTATTCAAATAATTTTTTAATTTGTGGGGTAATAGCTTCTTGATCCAAGTATGAAAGTGACTGCCATTCTGGGTTCAACTAGGTTTTTTTTTTTCTAGTTTGTTTCAAAGTTGGAAGTGCCTCAAAATTTTATTTTTGCCTTCTTTTAGATCAACAGCAAACACAGATGTGAGAAAGGCTGAACATGATGGACATGCATCTTTTCAGCCTATGTAACTGTGTAAATTCTGGTAAATAGCTAGGAAAGTTTATAATACACATATGACATATTAAGTGTTGGTTTAAAGGGACACTATAGTTACCAGAACAACTACAGCTTATTGAATTTGTTCTGGTGAGTAGAATCATTACCTTCAGGCTTTTTGCTGTAAACACTGTCCTTTCAGGGAAAATGCAGTGTTTACATTACAGCCTAGTGATAACTTCACTGGCTACTCCTCAGATGGCTGTTAGAGATCCTTCCTGGATCATGGCTGCCTAAAATGCATCCAAACATTCAGTGTCTCCTCCCTCTGCATGCAGACACTGAACTTTCCTCATAGAGATTCATTGATTCAATTCATCTCTATGAGGAGATGCTGATTGGCCAGGGCTGCGTTTGAATCATGCTGGCTCTGCCTCTGAGCTGCCTCTTTGTCAATCTCAGCCAATCCTATGGGGAAGCATTGTGATTGGATCATGCCACCACTTCTGATGATGTCAGCAGACTGCTTGTTTTTCTGAGGCAGACAGGTCAGAGCCAGCAGCTTCTGGCTTGAATACAGTAAGATTTTTACTATATTTATGGAGGAATGAGGGGCCCAGGGGGGCTAGATGGTGGTTTTAACACTATAGGGTCAGGAATACATGTTTGTGTTCCTGACCCTATAGTGATCCTTTAATATCTAGAAATATCTAGAACACCTTCACTTTACCCCAAATCGTACAGAATAATCGTGAAACATGAGCTATGAACCCAGTGTTAGCACCAAGTGAAAGGAAGTAAAATGGCCATATACCATTCAATGCAGTATACATAAAAAAGAAAACTATGGTAATAGATAGTGCTGAGTGTATTGAACACAAAGACAAAATAAAAATATACATTTTAAAGTTGTATGTATATAGTCATCTCATAAGTCAATGCCTCTTGATATTTGAGAATGCTGAATTCACAGCGATGGGTAGTCCACCAATTTAGTATCCTGTGCGGATAAAAGAACCAAACTTTCACTCATTTCTGGGACTTTGTTTAGGAGTTCACCCATCATATTTGCTTTATGTGTTCTGAATTTTTACTGGGTTTCTAATTTACTTTTGTATTTATATTGTTTACCACATTGTCCATTGAGTAGTGTATAACTTTGTATTCCTTTCATGTGGTGTTAACAGTGGGTTTAGCACTCACCATATTTAGAATGTATGTTATACTAAACACATGCACATTGGTAAAAGAAGTATAAAACAAAAACAAAAAAACAATACAACTAAATATGTTATATTGCATTCCTAGAGGAAGTGGACATGTCACTGCCACAATTTTTTTT